CCAGGAGCGAGCAGCACTAGCCTAACCTACCTTAAAGCTGCCCGTCAACGACGTCAAACCCTCGAAACCACAAACAACAACACCAAACAACATCGCCAGCCAACAACCCGCCCACCGACACCACGCACTTCTACGACTGCTGCAGGCTAACGACACAGAGCGAGTCGCGGGAAGAATGGGAAATGCGTGTCTTTCCTGCCTCACAGGTACTGTCGACCTCCTTCTGCTCACCCCCCGTTGGTGCCACCGCCCGTCCGTTTGCTGACCTGGCGGCTCCCTGTCGAAACGCTTGAACAGGTCGATCGAGGGACAGCCTCTACGAACCAATCATCGCAGACAGTGAACGCGAAGCTGTAGCAGACCTCTTACAGTATCTAGAGAACGTACGTCTTCCTCTGCTCCCGCTCCTCAATGAGCTGTCGGGCCCGTGTTGCTGAAACCTGCTGTTTTTTTCGCAGCGAAATGAGACAGACTTCTTTACCGGCGAGCCACTTCGGGCTCTCAGCACCCTTGTCTACTCGGATAACGTCGACCTCCAGCGAAGTGCCAGTCTGACCTTTGCAGAGATAACGGAGCGAGGTGAGCTACAGAGCACTGGATGATAGAAACGGAAAGACAGAGAGAGAGGGGCCCCGCTTTGGCTAATAGCTCGGTGTTTCAATAGATGTCCGTGAAGTCGACCGGGATACGCTGGAACCCATATTATTCCTGCTCGAGAGCCCTGACATCGAGGTCCAGCGGGCTGCCAGTGCTGCTCTGGGTAATCTTGCTGTCAACAGTATGCCTTTTCTTCTTCTCCTTCTTTTTTTTTTCTTTGGTTTTCTTTGTTTCATCTACACAGACCTTGGAAGCTGACCATATATTACTCCTAGCCGAGAACAAGGTGTCGATAGTCATGTTGGGAGGTCTTGCTCCTCTGATCCGGCAGATGATGTCTACCAACGTCGAGGTGCAGTGCAACGCCGTTGGATGTATCACTAACCTGGCTACCCATGAAGAAAACAAGGCAAAGATAGCTGGCTCTGGAGCTCTCGGGCCGCTCACCAGACTCGCCAGATCCAAGGACATGCGTGTACAGAGGAATGCGACTGGCGCTCTCCTCAACATGACTCACTCAGGTACGTATCCATGTCAGCATCTTCGGGTTTGCTCCCCTACTAACATCTTCATCCTGACAGACGAAAACAGGCAGCAGCTTGTCCTGGCTGGCGCAATACCGATCCTGGTCCAGCTGCTTACCTCACCAGATGTCGACGTCCAGTACTACTGCACCACGGCGCTTAGCAACATTGCCGTTGACGCTCTGAACCGGAAGAAGCTTGCGCAGACAGAGTCACGTCTCGTACAGTCTCTAGTTCAACTAATGGACTCGTCTACCCCCAAAGTACAGTGCCAGGCAGCACTAGCCCTCAGAAACCTAGCTTCAGACGACAAGTATCAGCTGGAAATTGTCCGTGCTCGGGGTCTCCCGCCACTGCTTCGGCTACTCCAGTCATCCTACCTCCCCTTAATACTCTCTGCGGTGGCGTGCATCCGCAACATTTCCATACACCCAAACAACGAGTCGCCTATCATAGACGCAGGCTTCCTCAAACCACTAGTCGACCTTCTTGGCTCTATTGACAACGAAGAAATCCAGTGCCACGCTATTTCTACTCTGCGTAATCTTGCTGCAAGCTCCGACAGAAATAAGGAGCTAGTCTTGGAAGCCGGTGCCGTCCAAAAGTGCAAGGAACTTGTGCTACAAGTTCCGCTGACCGTGCAGTCGGAGATGACGGCTGCCATAGCCGTCTTGGCGTTAAGTGACGACCTCAAGGGCCGTCTATTGAAACTTGGAGTCTTTGAAGTACTTATTCCTCTAACTGCCTCCGAGAGCATCGAAGTTCAAGGTAATAGTGCCGCCGCCTTGGGCAATCTATCATCGAAAGGTATGTCACCATGTCACCTATCTTCTACCACATACGTATATACCTATCTCTTTGTACACAGTTGGTGATTACTCTATCTTCGTTCGAGATTGGACCGAACCAAATGGCGGACTTCACGGTTATCTAAACAGATTCCTAGCCAGCGGAGATCCCACTTTCCAACATATCGCAATTTGGACTCTTTTGCAACTGATAGAGTCAGAAGACAAACGACTTATCGGCTTTATCACTCGCTCCGAAGATATAATACAGCTAGTACGCGCGATTGCAAACAAGAATCTTGAGTCCGACGATGAAGGCGAAGACGGCGAAGAAGGCACCGCCGAAGTCATCGCCCTCGCACAGAGATCCCTCGAGCTTCTCGGTTTCGACTCCAAGCACAGCTGACATGCTTAGCCGATACATACCGAACGTACTGATGCCCACTGCTAACGAACCTACTTCTGATGCGCACGGCGGCCTCCTCTTTATATCATCCGCCTTATCCTCTTACCCTTGATCGGGCACTCTTATACCTACCTGCTCATTTACATATCGCTCTTCAAACTATATTACAGCTTTATCGTTTCTCCCTTATTCCCTATTGTTTTCGTCCGTTTTATTTATTTTCTTTTTTCTTTTGTTGTTACTATTTCTCCTTATGGATACTCATTTAATCGTGGCAAGGAGTCCAGGCGTTTCGGTGTCGGCTCTTCAGAAAACAAATTATTTCTCTCATTCCCTTCCTTTCTCCTTTTTACAGTCTCTTCTATTGATACTGGTCTGCATTGTTTTTATTCTGCTCTTTTTGTCTCCATTATATAAGACTGTTTCCAATATACTTCCTTCCAACACCCTCTCTCTTCCTCTCACCGCGAACCTTATATCCACTCTCTCGATTGTTACTCTAGCATTCCTTGTGTGTATTACTTGGCGGCACTTCCTTCCACTTGCTGGTTTGATTCAAGTGTTACATCCAAATACATAAAGTAATGTATTCCTCTACTCGGTGTTATAATTAAAGGGCTTGGTCTTTTTTTTGTCGTTGTTTACATCATGACGTCATGCCGTTCTGCTGAGTAAGCCGTAACTCTAACAAGCTTTAGGTTTTCGGGTAAAACTTCTTTTTTTTTGCCTTTTGATATCTCGATCTTTTTGATTGACAGCTTCGTTGCGATCACTCTCGCTAGTTGCTCTCTTTCTATTTGCGAGGTTAATCCTGTCAAATAATTTACTTCCCCTAAGATATGGCAGCAAGTATACCTTCCATCGCAGTGCCTGGGCTACGTCTCGGCGATAGCTCAACATTCACCTCCGGCCCAGGAACATACGTCCGCGACTCCTCTATTTGCGCCTCCATAGCCGGCCCAGTAATCCTCAAAACCGACGATAAGGGAACAGATCCAAAGCGCAAACCCCGCAAAATCCTCACAGTATCCCGCTCTCCGCAAACAGATACCCCCAACCCCACACAAAAACAACAACAAGCCAAATCCCCTCTAAAATTCAACACCCTACCAGCCGTCGACTCTATTGTCCTCGCCCGCGTAACCCGCGTTCAGAAGCGCCAGGCAACAGTCTCAATACTCATGGTCGTAGATGACCAAAACAACGATCTCATCGACACCAACATGCGCACAATCCTCTCTTCGGCACCCATAATCACCACCGCCGGCACAGATAGTACGAGCACAAGCAACACGGCAGACGATCTATGGTTTCAAGCAATTATCCGCAAAGAAGATGTTCGTGCTGTTGAAAAGGACCGCGTAGTAATGGAGGATATGTTCAGGGTGGGGGATATTGTGCGCGCATACGTGATTTCAGTGGGCGATCAGAGCTCATATTATTGTTCGACTGCACGGAATGAGCTTGGAGTCGTTATGGCGAGGAGTGAGGGAGGAAATATGATGTTCCCCGTCAGTTGGAAGGAGATGAGGGATCCGGTTACGGGTGTTGGTGAGGCGAGGAAGGTTGCGAAGCCGTTTTGAGAGGCCAATGGAAGTTATTGATAAGATGGTTTAACGACTGAGAGTAATGAGCCAGGTAGGCATTTGATATGAACCAGCAGATAAAATGCACATGGTACCCAGGATGCGAAGCGGTATCCTACTACATTTACCTGAAATGACAGGTTGAAGATACCTACCCACTATTCCCGCTAGCTCCTGTGATGGAGATCGAGAGGGCAAGCCAAGGTCATGCTAGGCTACGGTAATAGGCTTAGCACTTCGTGAAAGTACCCGTTAACCAAACAGGAGCAAACTACGGGCGAAATCGAATATTGAGGATCAAAGGTAGCTCAGGACCAAGGATAAAATCATGATAGATCTATTCAATGCTTACTTTTAATGCTCGTGTACATGCAATATCCTTTTTCCTCTTCCCCCTATCTTTTCAATGTTTTCTGCTTCTCGGCGTCTTTAACCAACTTCTTACCAGCCACAACCAATCCCTTTCTACTCCTAACACTATCCATATACCTCTTGGCCACATTCTCTTTATCCGCCAACTCACCTAAATCTTCAAGCTCCTCTTCCGTAGCAGGAACCCAGAACGGATCCTGATCAAGCATCTCAAATCCAGTAAATATCAGCTGCGGAGACGCAGCACCAGACGTCCGCTTCCGGATCTCATCTGAGAATCCGAAGGATTCAGCTACTGGTAGAAGGGATAAGATTGTGAAGAAGGACGTTCCTTCTTTCATGGTTTCTGATAGGATTCGTCCACGTCTTCGGGTCACCACGGCGTATACGCGGCCCAACACCTCAGCTAAGGGAAAGTTCGTTAACTTGTTGCCAGTTTGCCACCACTTACGAAGTTTTGGGCAGAAATCACTTACTTGTAGCTTGGATCTCACAGCTGTACATGGCAAGCATTATTCGGGGGCTCCAATCAAGGAAGCCCTGCCATACGGCGTCTCGTACTAGCCTTATTACTTCTCCTGTCAAGCGAGTATGTTCTTCATCTCCAATCTCCTCGAGTGTAACATCCTCGATAAACACTGCCACGCCCTGAACAGGTTCTCGACAGAGTGGGCCTTGAGATGTAGCAAGTTGGAACGCATAAGATATCTTATCTGAGAACAACGCAGAATCTCGAGCCGACTTGTTATTTGAACCGTCCGCAAATCTGGATCAGGTTAGTCCAATTGCATTCTTATAGATGGTGAAAAGGGGTGCACATACAATTTTTCATAGCGTCCACTAGGGGTAGCATCAAAAAGAATGTTGGCTCCTATTTTCTTAGGGCCAAATTCCAGTATCTTTGCCAGAGCATTTGCCCAAACCTCTTTATCTTCCTTTACCGCGCTGAAGCAAGTTTCTAATTCTTTCCTGAAGTCTTCAGCAGAGAGTGTGTTGCGACTAGAAGTGGCTCCCTCCTCTCTGTCTTCTTCATGTGGACTATCTGTCTCGGGGGTATCGTCATCTGATTCCTTCGTAGCGTCCGTTGATAAGTGTCTTCGACGTCCATATATCCGTTTAATAGTCTCTGCTTGTTTGAGAAGAAACTCCGAGATAGATTTGGGAAGCGGCCGTACTCGAATTTTGATTTTGAGTTGTTTAGATCCGGATGTAGCTATAACTGTTCCTCGCGGTAGGTCTGGGTTCTTAGGAGGGTTCATTTCAGCAGCACTGATAATTGTTTCCCGGTATGGCACTATGGATTCTCCAGCTTGTATTTCGCATTTGGCGAATCTCTCACGAAGGTCCTTCAGGCACCGTTCGAGATGTAATTCTCCTGCAGTGAGAATAACGTGCTCTCCACTTGGCAGAACTTCATACTGTGCACATGGGTCACTTCGTTCAAGCATCTTTAGTCCATTGATCATCTTATTCAAGTCTGCCGGGTTCACAGGCTCCAGAGCAACTCGGACAATGGGCGGATGGCTTAAAGACACTCCAGCGAGATTCACCGCTCCATCTATCTGGCTGCAAAGGGTGCCAGTTTTCATGATATGTCCTTCAAGTCCTGCAATCCCAAAGACCACTCCTGCACTGACACTTTCCAGGTTCTCTAGGGCTCGTCCCATGAGTAGGTACAGTCCCTTGACTGTAACTTTGGTCGGTTCTGGACTAGCCCGTGGATTCATAGGTGAGAATTTCGGTGGTAGTACATATATTGAATCTCCCACCGAGAGAGTACCAGAATATAGTCGTGCAAAGCCAATAAGATGCTCTGGATCCACCTTCTCTTCTACTTTGGCCTCCTCTAGGTGTGAGTCTGCCAAAGCATTTGCGAGGCCAGACACATCTCCATCATTCGCCTCACTCCGAAGTTTGGCAAATTCTTCTCTCTTTCGTCGAGCAATTTCCCTAGCTTCATCTGCAGACATGGTCCCTCCAGGTGTTCTGCGTGTTTTTGAAGGTAGCTCACTCTCGGGAATGGATACCATCTTGCTGACATATCCAAGGATTGGGTCTTCTTTTCCTGCCTTGGAATTCACCACGGCATCACGGACCTTGGGATCAACATAGCTAGCATCCGGGGAATCATCAATCATATCAGGCAGTCTAAGCGCTTGGGCATCTATAGGGCTGGGTAGATATTCAATCACAGAGACTAGCACAGCGGTGGAAAGTGGCAGCCATGAAGAAAACACAGCAGAGAGAATGTTCCTGGAATCGCGAGACCGAAGTATATGCACGGGTATCTTTATTGAAAGAGACTTTGTTATCTTTTCTAATAGTGCAGGGTCGCTAGGAAGTAAGTTAGATAGAGTGATAGGACACACTATTGTTAAGCAGTTGAAGAAAATTGAACACATACCCCGTAGAGTTGGCCCCGCCTGTAGTTGCATTGTAGACTGCCCAGACCGTCTCCAGTACAAGTTGAACAAACATCGGGCTTAATCTTCTACCCTTTAAATGTTTCGATCCTAGGACTCTCTTTGTTTTAGGGTCTAGGTAATAGTCACCCCAGAGCACTTTCTCCAGGGTAGCTCGTTTGATCCCAAGTTTCTTTTCATAAAGGCCGGCAAATTGTCGAACTGTAAACGCCCAGCCATCGGTAGCACTGCAAAAAATAACATTATTCTTCTCAGGAGCAAAGTATAGATCTTCATCATCACGCTCTTCAAATTCTGCAGTCTCAGCATCGATTTGATTTCCGGATTCAGCACTGGCTTTTGACCTATCCTTCTCCTTTATTGCTGCGGCTTTAACTCGCTCTTCAACTTTTTCTCTCCACTGGAGGTCTTCTTCCATGCGCTCTCCCTGGTAGAAGCTCCCTATCACGGCATTCACCTGTTCTAGGATCTTGCTAAGATGGGAATATGCCTCGAGGGGTGTCAATTTCAGTTCGGTCACTAGACGATCTATTTTGTTAATAACAAGAATGGGCTTTAGCCGTTCCACCCATGTATGCCGTAGGACAGTAACTGTTTGACTGCACACGCCCTCTACCGCATCAACCAGAACTAGAGCGCCATCACAGAGCCGTGAGGCAGTGGATACCTCGCTGCTAAAGTCAATGTGGCCGGGGGAATCGATCAGGTTGATTAGGTACTCCCGCTTGTCAGGGGTGCCTTCGGGAGCAGATCTCCGTAGCATCGAGAAATACAGGGAGATGGCCGAAGACTCCATCGTGATTCCTCGTAGCTGTTCATCTGGCCGGGAATCCAGGTAGCGGATTTTGCCCGCCAGTTTTGGTGATATGATGCCATTTGTGGCGATCAAGCTGTCTGTTAAAGATGTCTTTCCGTGATCCTATAGCAAGTCTGTATCAATATGGGGAGTTTAGGGTATATGGTGAATTGAGTCAGCCCAGGAAGCATAATGGGGGCACATACAACATGCGCGAGGATACAAATCTACCATGTGCGATTAGTATCATATTTTTCTCCAGCATAGCGGGGGAGGGGCAGTTCAGTATACATTTCTGATATCGTCAGCCTTTCGCTGGAGCCGAACGAGATCTTCCAAGTTAACGACAGGCATCTTGGTATATGGCACGAAATTTTCTACCTGTTGTGTTCGCGTGGAAGGAAAGATACGGCTCGCTGTCTTCTTGCGGGCCTGGTCAATCCCCGGTGCGGATTTTGCGGCTCACCGGATGACGTAAATTAGGTATTTAATATTGAAGGCCGAAGGGATAGGCACAGCAGTATGTTTCTATATATACAAATGAAAGCAGGTGAGATATTAGGAGCTCAGTTAATTATTTCTTGAGTTGAAATAGTTAAGTATTTTGCAATATTTGGTTTGCGAGTCAAAAAGGTTTGCGGTTATGACTGTTTATGAGAAATAACGACGAATTCTATGACAAAGTTTCAAAGTTACATAGCAACGACGTCTTTTTGGTTGGCCAGTTGGCGCTTAAAACACCGGATAAGATGATAGATATTATTCA